CATCCATTTGGCACTTATTTCAACTTTTTCAAGTCGATGATGGTTCCTTTATAGTTTCTTTGCTTATTCTGTTATCAGCTCGAAAATTTTCAATTCATACGAGCACGTACATACATATCTAATTAATCAACACTTTACTACACAGGAGCATATTCACACTTTATTGCAAATTATTGGCACCCAACAAATTCCATAACAACAATTCCATAACAAATTCATGAATATTCAGTAATCTGTATTATAGCAATCTAATAAGATCTGCAGACGATAGTGAGTGCCATATCTTAAAATAATTAACAATGTACTTATTATTTTAATCACTTAGAAACATGAGTATCAACAATCATTTGCCACGCCCACTACAAAGAGGAGATTCAGCATTTTCCTTTCACTATAAAAGGTACTACAATCGAATCGGTATCGAATTTATTAAAATCAACCCATAGTTGCATTCGTGTACTTTACCAATCATTCAAAATGCAATCATGACTGCAGCCTAAAGGAATGTACTTAGTATTTTGACTATATGTGTATCTCCTAAACCCTCTCTCTACCTCTACCCTACCGGTAGAGTGAAAATGGATGAAATCGGAAGATAACCTTGTACCCTCTCCATATAACGGTACTTTTAAAAACGACAAAAAGTGCGGTGCAATAAATCAGTAATTAAATACGCCAGAGATATTAAATTTTATCCCCAAGACGGTATGAGAAGCTTTTAATGGAACCGGGGTCGAAATTGGACGATCCACGTGGCACCGCCCACTTTAAGGTGAAATCACATATGTATCTCTAGACTCTCCCCAGCGATTTCTACAAAATTTGGTATATGAGAGATTCCTCTGAAATCATGTTACAGTGTAAAAATGGGACTACAACCACGTCTATTTCACACATAATACAATTTTCCCCCCTCTGAATCAGCCAATGCATTATGTAATTATATAAATAACCAGCATGACTAGCTGAGTCGATTTAGCCAAATTCCTCTGAGTTTTCGTCTTTATATACACGAACTAATTCCTCATTTTTTTAGAAATCGTACTGAAATTTTGTAAACGTCGTTTGCTCACCAAGAAGCTGCTCATTTGTCGGAAAACTGTCCAACTGAAGGCTTTATACCTTTATTTGATAAGGTAGCTTCACGAAACTTGACATACATATGTGGGTTATTATCCAAGGCATGGCTACAATCTCCAAATAGTTCAGATCGCACAACGGCCATAAAAACTAATAGATTAGTAATAAGATAAAGATGAAGATAAGATTATAAAGTTTTTGCTAAAAAGATATAGCTGAAGTTAACGTTAATTATTATCATAAATATTATGTATTGACTTGTTTTTTCTTTTCAATTCATTTAACTAATTGTAATTATTATTTTTTCCTTTTTGTACGTTTCTTATATTGCATAAAAGTGCACTGTCTGTTACATTACGCTGTTGAACTGCACTTAACTAAGACACATTATATAAGACGCTCACTGCCATGTATTTTTAAAGTATCTACATACATCCGCTAATGTTTGTTTTAATAATATTGGCATGTAGACCAATTGTCTACAATTGTGTAAAAATGGTGTAATTCCCTAATATACAAATTTAATTTATTTTTAGTAATGAGCTCCCAATTTATCATATCTTTAAAGATAGCTGTGAAGCATAGATATCACTACTAGTTTAATTTGTATCGTTACTATAAACAAGAAGTAAGTCCCGAGTTGATTACAAGGAGTTAGTTCACTGTTACAATGAACGACGCCTTATGTAGTTAAGTACGTAGAAGATAAAAAGCATTTTGCGAAAATATAAAAATTTCGAGGTTAAAATTATTCTCGGTCGCCAGCATCGTTGCAAGTCCTCAAATACATACAAGGTGAAGATACTTGACCAATCATCTAGCAATTATTACAATGAATAAGGTATAGTAACCAAAAGTATTAAGTTCGTGAATATAACTCTTTTAAAAATCGGTCCGATTGTTGAAAAAAATTGAAAATTAAAAGAGTAGTTTTCGCTACAGAAGAATATATATATATATTTCTGATTAAGTTCCATTATAAATATAACCAATTTCATAATAACATGTACACATACATATATAATAATAATGATTTAAGGTATGCATCAAGGGAGATTGCTAACTCACGTGGAAATATTCCCTCCTTTTGTATACCAAAATCAGCGTTAGCAACTGGAAGAAATGATAGCAGCCGCTCTAAAGTACATAGCAACAAGTGCATGGATACGAGTATATTTTGCAATAAACAGATCCAAATGAGCAAACGCGCTTGACAACAGCAAGCAACAGTTGCTGCTTTTGATTCGTTATGCATTCGCAAAAATTGACTGCTGGCTAATTCAGGCACCATGCAAACACAACAAACGCATCCACGTACATACATATGGATGTGTTGCATGTACGTACATACATACATACGTGTATGCTTTATGTACGCAGTGAAGATTTGTGGGACTTTATTCAATATGCATGTCGGATAGCAATATTTACATATGTATTTACATAATACGTATGTATACCTATATGTCAAGCAAATGTGCGCAATTGCTGCATTACATGACCAACTACGTACATAACAAGTAACGAATTGCTAAGTTCGGGCGCAACCGAACTTTTTATATACTCTTGCACCTTACCTTATGGTGTAAATCCTCAACCAAAGGATTGGAATCCAAGATATACGTATACATACATACATACATTTACTATTTATAGCTCATACACTGACCGACATGTTCCAAAATCCTGATATTAGTTATATGGGAATTTTCGTCGAATTTTATCTATTTTAGGCACAGAGATACACTGTTATGAGTAAAATACGATCTCTAATTTCAATGGGATAACTCTGATATTGGCCGATATACATATGCAGTATAAAGTCTCCTGGAAGTTCGAAAATCTTTATATGAGATATATAGGGGCTCAAAGAAGTATTGACACGATTCAACCCATTTTTGATAGACAGAGTTACTATCGTCAAGAAACGATTATCTCTGAATTTTAATTGTATATCAACTACTATAGGTACAAGGGTCAACATATTCGATACCTAAGTTTAACCAATTTTGAATTATTAATTTTTTTTTTACTAAGGAACGCGCATACCCAGTTGGTCATAACTAAATTTTTACTCAAATTATAGTTCCTGGATTTCTTCTCCTCATTCTGATCATTTATGTATACATATACATACATACATATGCATATGTATATAACCCTATTTCTATCTCGATTAGTTTTAGGTGATATGTAAAACCGTTAGGTGAACAAAACTATTATACTCTGTAGCAACATGTGGGAGTATAAAAACATGTACATGTAGGTACATACCATACATATGTATGTATGCATGCACATATGTTAAAAGAAATATAGATCTTTCAGTCGAGGTTGTTAAAATGTGCTCCCGAGGAGATTTTCACATAGGTTGATATTATTAATTAAAACAAAGTTTTTAAGACATTTCAGATCCTCCCAGTTGAAAAGGTTGGTCACATCCCTCAATTGTGGCAAATGTATACTTTGAATAAGCAAGCATAAAAAACGCATACGCATATACAACAAAAACGCAAAAGCAAAAACATGAATCTATGGTGAAAACTGTAAAAACAACTTCAATGATCACTTTCTTTCCTTAAGAAGCGATTTGAAAAGCTTCCGTTTTAATGTTTTATTCTCATAATTAGAGAAGGTAATTATGCAAAGTAGAGTTTCTAACGTCTCTCTCATGCCTACTTCTTTGCACTTTCTGCATGTGTCGTCGTTAGGAATGGCCATCCGACTACCGTGTGATGTCAGTAAGTTGTGACCTATCAGTGGCCTACAACTGCCCTGCAGTCTTGTCGAGACCGTATTAGTAAAAACATGCGAGTTTTCCTGGTGGTATTTCACCCGATCCTACGGCCCTAATATTAACTGAACTACATAATTTTGTTTTGCATGCAAATAATAAAGCTCTCTGAGCATTATGGATTACCGTTTCATATCCCTGTACGAAGGTCGAACCAATAAAGCAATGGATATAGCCTGCTTGGAATAATCGGCCAAAACCTTTCTGTCACCACACAGAGAACAGCCAACATTATTATGTAAGTATGTGAGAAATGTTTGTTAAACGATAACAAGAAAAATTCCTACATACATACATATATATATATGTACATGTAGTAATATGTATATACATACATATATATATGAAATATAAATACGCCGAATATTCAGTATAATTTCAAGTGCACTCCACAACTTCTTCTCTTATGAATATCTCTTATACACGTTGTATGTCGTAAACATCTGCTATAGTTTGTTCGATGCGCTGTCGAGTAACGCTTGCCGAACCGAAGACACCTAATATATCTATTTACTTGTATCTTTAATTTACATACATATATTGATAAGTTGTGTTTAAATACATACACATGTGTGCATTTGACTGTAACATATAATATATTGACCTACCTCTTGGTTGTTTACACAATACATCAGCTGATACTGTTGCTTTTCATAAACAAACAAGAGAGCAAAAGCGAATGAAGAATAATAAACTCAGGTTTCTATGCATGTATGGTTGTATTTGATATTTGAAGTTGAAATTTATCGTTGATATGAAAAAGAGGAAAGATCAAACTCATAAAAAATACAGTCCGCCCAGTTTTCATTTATTCTCAATGAGTAGTCAACATAGTGTAGTCAATTTTGCAGATATCGCTTCTCTACAACCTTAGGTATCATAATCGGTCACACATTTTTCATATTCTAGCATTGAAAACTTCATTATACCATTTATATTTTAGGAATAATACAAATTTACATTCTGCCTACCACATACATAGTTATGTACGTGAGTATAAACTTATTACAACTAAATACAATTTATTTACAACAAATAAACTGCTTTTGTCTTATTGAGAGTTTCCAACTTGAAAATTTATTTAGGTTTAGGTTTTTCTATGGAATTTATAATGAATATTACTTACCGAAAATACTCAGTCACATTACTCTGCAATCAGAGTTTCATCGACTGTGTACCACTGTGCGTGACGAAGAGGAATTAAAACACTGTACCAAACTATTGGTATATTGTATTTGTTTCGGCTTTATATATGTACGAAAGGTTATATGTTCATATATATATTTATGTGATCTTTATGACACTTCAATGTTTTCTTTTGCTTTTTTGTTATTTTATTTTTATTTCTTTCGTTCGGCGAATGCACGTTTTACGGTATTTAGTGTTCTTTTTGTTGTTATGTGCTGATAAGCTAAATATACGTAGCGACCGATTTTTATTATTAATTTAAGTTTTCACATTTTCTTATTTCACATGTGTTTTTTCACTTACTGTATTATTAATTTTTGATACACTGGTTTTGCTGCTTCTATTTATATTTTATGAGTGTCTTTAAATCGTTTCATACACAAATACTTTTTTCACTCACTTTTACACTTGTACCGTCTTTAAGCGTTTTAATTTTGTGCTTAATAAAACTCTTGATGAGTTTATTTATTGAATAAGGCCACAGGAACTTATTTAGTTGAGGGGAGGTCGCCAAAGCACAGAAACACTAATTTGATCAAACACATATCGATATATCTACATGACATATGACATCCTCTACACACCCACATAAATATGTTTATTGAGAAAGTGAATATACATACATACATATGTACATATACTTTTGTTTTTCGAAGTATCGTTTTGTTTTCCTTTGATTTCATTCAAGATTCACGCAAGTAGTATCATTGGCTATCTGTCTTTAATTTATTATTTCTTACTCATTTATTATTATTATTTCTTCATTTAATCGAGCATGGTCATCATGTTTAGCAATTTTCTTTGTGCATCCGCAGTGAAACTTTCACGACATTCTGTGAGTTAAAGAAAGAATAGAAAAACATTACTATACAATTAAAAGAAAATTATTTACTTCTTTTTAACGGATAATTTAAAGAAAGTAATATATATGTACATATTTATGGATCTTCATTTATAGGTAAGTGGCCAGTGTATGCACATAAAAATTAAACTAAATTCAAAACTTCCCTACTGTAATGTTAAGAAATTATCCTACTGGCCGTTGCAGAAAAAGGAAGCAGGGTATTAAATTTAAGACACCTAATTAGGGTCGCAGATGATTGTAGTGAATTGTTGACAAAGGTCTGGAAACCATTGTTGCAGTTCACCGAGTCCCTCTGAGAACTCTGGATCCGAAGGATCCCCAATCTCTTCCTCGCTCTTCTTCACTGCACTTAACTGAAAACAGTTAAACTGATAAATTCTACAAATTACACTATAATGCTGAACTTTGTATTTTCTTTTCTGAAACTGGTGGCTTTTTTAACACATAACTTCACTTAAAGAGTTCTTTAAGAATTAAATATTTAAAATATTATATTAATACAATTAACCATCTTTAATGTCGCTTTCACTTAAATATTTTTAAATAAGACATTCAAATTCAAATTGGAAGAGCAAAAATTCGACAATAAAAATCAAAACATTTTTAATAAGCGAATCTAAATGGTAAACATGTTCGCCAAAAAACGAATTCAGAGGTACCCATTAAATAAAATAGCTCGAACTGGTTGAAACAATTTCCTCTGAATGGTGAAGGAGAAACACACAAGGACATTTATTGGTTTATGCATTTACACCAAATCTATTAAATTCTGTTCTATTTTCGCATTTTAATGTAATAACAAACTCAGTTTTTTAAACGAACACATTTTCTCAACACTTACATACTTGTACATATGTATGTACATGTTTGCTTAAATGCCGGTAATATATAAACAACAGCGATACTAATGGACGTACAACACAAGAGTCTCTTTTAAGAATTAGTTTTGCAGCGTTGTAATGTGTTTCTTTCTTATTTATCTGGTAGTCCTATTAAACGTATGTATTTATCTAAGAAATAATCTTTGCTTTTACTTCACGTACAATTTTAGTTGAGTGCTTTGAAGGAACGCCAAAGAACACCTATGTAATACACCTTTATCGTTCGTAGCTAGACTTCAACTGATTTAACTGTTTCAAATGCTACAACAGAATAGCATCGGCTGTTTTCGATGCCGACTTACTACAAACCGCCATTGTTGTTATTGCCGCTACTGATTCCGTATCTACATACATAAGTATGTATTTATTTCTGCTTCGTTGGTGATACCGGCATTCACATCGCTCTTGGCTATTGTTGTTACTGTGTTGGCCAGATTTTGTTAGGATGGATAATTACTTAAATATTATTTATGAAAATCGTCTTCAGCGTAACTTGCGGGATACCTAAACTGAATTTAATCATTTCCAAATTGGATACAAATGAAAAATTACCATTTGATATTTGTAAAATCACCTAGAGATCACTTTTCTAATGAATGTACATACATAAGTATATATAAATATACGTATATACATATTTCACATTTTTATTTCAGCGGCCAAATACACACACATATATTTGTTATAGAAAAATACTAACGCCCGGAGCACATAGAGCGCGACAGACTGCAAGCGACATATGTAAAATATTAAAATACACACGTTTTTAAGGGCACAGTTATTGAGACAGCTGCATAAATATATAACTGTATCCATAAGAACGTGTGTATTTCAATATTTGACAGATGTTGCCTGCTTAGAGCGCTCTATGTGTTCCGGGCGTCACTGGCGTAATCGTTTTATACGCACGGCAAAATATAATAATAATGAATAAGAATAATTTGTCTGCTGGGTTTGGATTGATGTTGAACTCTTAAAACATTGTTTGATGCTCATCTTTGACGATCTTCCTGCTAAGCATTCGTGAATTTAAATTAGAATGGAGAACGTAAATGCTGATTGGGTATAACTGCGTTGCTCTGTCGCTGTTGCGCTCTCTATATAAACACGCCCTGCAAGTTGGAAGTATTCTATTCATTCTTTAAAATGTATCCCATATGGGTCAGAAAGTACACCAAAATTAATCGCAATGTATATTAAATATCTTGTGAAATGAGTTGCGACGTCAGAGAGCAGAATTATATGCAACAACGCTGCATAATATCAATACTTCACAAAAGGCCTACATTATAACTACTATACCCATAAAATATTTTTGAAAATTACCTTTGACCACTTTTACCACACATGGTGTTTTATGTTATTGACTGGGTTTTGTTTCTGACCAGTGTGACGTTTCACTAAGAGGTAGTCACTCACACTTAGCCGAAAGCAAGAGCAAGCTAAAATAAAGCAACCGCTTATATACCCAATCCGAAAGAAAGAGTACCGAGAGTAAACCGAGTGCTTTGTTACGAGCCAAAAACAAATCACACACCAAAGAAGAAACGAAAATAGCAAAACAATCATTAAAAATAAGCAGAGTGTGGGACCTCAGTATATTTTATTGGGGTATTCACAACCTGTCTTAAGTCGTAAAGTCGTAAAGTTTTAAATTTTTCACTTGTTTAAAAAAAAATTTGTTGTTGGATTACATACAAAAATGAGTTTACACATTTACAATTCTCAATACTATGTTTTCGAATCGTTATAACTTTAAGAGACATGTGAAAACCCTAATTTTTATTTAAACAAGTGTAAAAATTTAAAATTTTACGACTTTACGATGCTTTAAGACAGATTGTGAACTCCCCATATATGAATATAAACATGACTATTGCTCCACTGTTTCTTTTTCGCAAAAACGGCTCACTACGCTAGTAATAAAGGAGTGATCACAATTGTATGTTTCCCCTCCATAGTAATTCCGATCTGCGACTGACCACTTACGAAGAGTCAAAATTATAACGTTTTTGCTAACTTCCTAGCAACCTACATAAGTATTCCTTAATCAGCAGTTATTCTTATTTGTAAAAGCCATAGACCAAAATGATAATTTATAAAAACAGTTGACCCAGAGAACTTAAAACATAGAGAAGGTGCAGGTTCGATGTCGAACAATTTATAAGATTGTGATAGGGAATTCACCTCACAACCATGGAATTCACCCCGTGAAATGTTAACATTGTTTTGATTTTAACAGAAGGGAATCTGTAGAATTACAGCTTTGTTAACATGATCAACCACAGAACATAAAATACATATGTATATATTAAGGTGGGCCAAAAATAATTTTAATTTTTATATTTCTTGGTTACCATGAAAATCTCATCCGACATGACAAAAAACAAGTTCTGGTAAGACCTGAGCTCTTAACATTAATATTAAAAGGTACCTCATCGATATTTTCGATTTCCCATTTAGATTACACAGGAAATTTTGTTTTTTTATGTTTGGATTTTTAATGTACACAAACAAATAATTAGTAAAATATAAAAATTGTTTTATGTTCTCTGTTTTATCAAGCATTCACCAACCACATCCGTCGGATTCTGTTTGCGAAAGAGTGCCCTCTGTACGCCATATTTATAAATTTGACAGCCGCATAATTCATTTTAGGACGGCATTAACTAATTTGCACACATTACATGCTATATTTTTTTGCTTAAAGTTACACTTGTAAGTAATTGAAACGAAAAACAATGCAGTATCTATTTTTTGCCAAAATTCATTATATAAGGTTGCAGAACGCATATTCGTTCTTTGATATATGCAAAAAAATTCACAATAGATAAAGTGAGCTATGCTAACATTTCTTTATTGCTGACAATTCATAATGTCACACTGTGCTGGTTTGACGGAGAAATTCGACTGAACAGTATACTTGATAAGAAACAAACAACGAAATTCAACGATACAAAGCAGCAACGATAGAGGAGTTTATAGTGTTGCTCAGCTGGAACAAATGCCGCCATTCAACCTCAAAAACCACCCACCGGGTGGCAATAAATCTGTAAACAAATGCTCTAAAATAAAGAGTTTTTTCGAGCAGTACGCTAATTTGGAGTATGTAAAGTATTTAGTTCTGGATCCAGCCGCGTTGCCTTTGGTCTCAGTTTTAATACTGTTAGCAGAGCTGATCATAAACATCAATGTGATTTGGAGGGTCCCTTACACAGAAATAGATTGGATCGCCTACATGCAAGAATGTGAGGGATTTCTAAATGGAACTTTAGATTATGGACAGCTGAAAGGTTAGTCGATTTTTTTTACAAAGCTATAGTGTAAATATTCTATTTTTAAACTTAAGTACATATATAAGTAATACATCTAGCCGGTACAAATAAAATGGGGTTATAAAGAAATTATGTACATACATGCATAGTAATACTCATATCGCAACCTAAAATGCAAAATAACGTAAAGGAGACGAAAAAAACGGTATAAAATATAAAGTACTTAATGAAACAAATTTGAATCATGGTTATATCTGATACAAGATAAATATTATACATACTTATGTATACGTAATATAAAATTAATAAAAACTCGAATTTCGAATGTTTTGATTTTAACTTGTTTTGCATTTTAGATGACGATACGTATATATATATACATGTACATAAGTTTAAAACCATTAATGAATAATAGTGTCCCAAAACGTTACTATTTTTATTGAATAATCTCTGAACCTTATTTCTTGCCGCCCAAAATTTATCGAATCTCTAAAATCTACTTGGCAATTAGCCTTTAAAAAAAATTTAGAAGGTTCTTTATTGAATACATATGAATACGATAAGCATTTTAACATTCAAAGTGTTAATAAGTGTATCGAAATAGCCCTTTAAACTCAGCACAGTCATCCGTAACTATTTGTTTCCAAATTACAATCATTCAACTCATTTGATTTTTTACAGCTATTATTAATAGTAATGTATTTTATTACAGTTTTCACCGTCTATTAGACTAACTAAAACAATAAAGCATTGTATCGTTTCTAATACAAGTGACCATTAACTCCTACCCATTTATACACAAGTAAATCACTAATATTATGTGTACTATCTGTTAAAAAGCGATTTAATTTTCGATAGTAACGTTTTCGGGGCGTCCTCTGTTCTGTAACAAAAAATTGTTGGTAAATAACTACTTGTATGAACAAAAAAAATATTTTTAAAGTGTAATTACGTAGCCTTTTTGGTGTTGTCTTTTTGTCTGGTAATTCCGTTGATTTGTCCCGGTGTGTCCGTTTCGAGTTCTGCATACGCCTCCAATATAGCCTTTTGTTCGGTTGTAAGATTTTTCGGTACTTCAATTTTAATATTTATGTAATGGTCGCCGTGGCCATGGGCATTAACACGTTTCAGGCCCTTTCCACGAAGAAACACTTTGTGATGTGACGAAGTACCTGCAGGTATGTTGATCCATTGGTCTTCGTATACACCTTGTACACGTATGGTACCGCCAAATACAGCTTGCGATATTGATATAGACGCCTCCGTATGAACATCGGCGCCTTCCCGTTTGAAATATTTGCTGCTTTCTACGCGGAAAGTTACGAAGAGCTCTTTACGTCCAACTTGCATTCTTACTGTTTGTCCGTTCTCTATACCTGCTGGCACTGGAACGGTTACTTTCTTTCGTTGCACTGTCTGTCCCTTGCCGTCACATTCAGTACATGGGTATTTAATGTACTGACGTGTTCCTTGACAATAACGACAAGTGGATCGCATTACAAATGGTCCCGTAGAAATAGTCTCCATTCCTGTTCCATTACAATATTGGCAACGACCAGGTTTTGTGCCAGGTTCACACTTTGATCCATTGCACTTTGCACACATATCAACAACATTAACGTTGACATCCTTGTTGACACCTCTAGCTGCTTGTGCAAATGTTAAATCCATAACAATTTCTTGTGCAGCACCAAAGCCGAATTTGGAATCGGCGAAATCATCAAAACTATTACTTCGAAAGTTAGCTTCGCCAAATATTTTACGGAATAATTCTTCTGGATCAATTGTGGAACGAAATTGCCAATTTTGTGAAAAACCTTGGGGACCCTGTCCGCCGAATCCCCCACTCCGTCCCATACTCTCTG